ACATTTACCTTTTATTGATAAATAAATCCCAGTCCAAACAGATTGAGTCCAGTCCATTTGAGCACAGTGATACATTCCCTCATCTTGTTCAATGACTGACAAAATAAACAAGGTGCTTTGTGTGCCATTATTTGTTATTGTAAATCTTGTAGATGAAAATCCTGGTCCATAAGCAGTTTTTGTACTTTTACGCAGCATTGCAATTAATTTCAGAGTATTTCCTGCACTCTGCTTGTACCAGTGAACCCATGTTACGACCTGAAACTGCTCAGTCAAAACACATGATAAAGTGACAGGTTCCCCAAGCTGGACTGTGGTGATAGGAACCAAAGTATCTGCAGTACCTAAAAAAAACAACATAATAAGTAATAAAGTATTTCGAAATCAGACATATAACAATTTAGTGAAGGGCAATTCTATGTTTGTGAATCTACTTACATCTTTGATGAAGAAGTAGAAGCATAAGCCATAGCAGAGTCATGTTGACACTGTCTTCATCAGGACACTTAATGCTTAAGTAACTAAGGGAGGTGTGGTGATTCAGAGCGTTAAATGCCTCTGATTGGCTACCTCAGAATATATAGTCATATGTATAGAAAATAAAATAAATATAGAATATATAGTCACATATATATAAAATAATGTGATCACTTTATTAATCTATGCATATGTAGATTTTTCTTGAATAGAAGAATCCATAAAAAATTCAGAGTAACGTGTTTGTTATTTTATGGACACTCCTGTCATTCAGAAAAACTGAGAAATCCGTAGATTTTCAGTAAATCCTTTATTAATTCATAGACCAGTCAGTTAGAAAAAGGAATATTCTGTAAATCTACATAAAATATATGCTTATTCACAGAAACATCTGTTGTTTAGATAATGGAATAATTTTTAGATTCACATAAAATTTCTGTTAATTGATAGAAACATCTGGTGGTTATAAAACAGATAATTCAGTAAATTCAAACCTGATTTCTTCTTCACCATAAAAATATATTGAACGCATGCCATTTCAGAAAATATAAGATATATTTAGATATATATACATATATCTTTATATATAAATATATATAGACATGAGTTAAAATATATTGAATAAAACTTTAATATTTTGAATGGTATTCTGGAAATCAGGAAAGGTAAGTTGGAGAAAAACAAAGAAAACTGAGAAACTGGGAAAAGAGTAAGGAGAAGTGGTCATAATAATAATAGAGAACATACAGACTACTGTAAATGCCGACGATAAAGATGTAGAGGGTGCTCTGGAGTAGAAGTAGACTGGTTGTCAAGATCTGGCCTAATAGCTTCACCTTCACTCACCTGCTCAGTTCTTCCCAATTCCTAATTTTCACATCTTTTCCACCTGTGTCTGGGCTACATATCTGGTTCAGCCTGAGCGATCGGTTTGAGATCATTATTTATTTTCCATTTGTCTTTTTGCTAATTTTAGTTTATTCCATGGTTCATGTCCTGGTTCCTGGCAGCTAGCGGATTGAAAGGGTTTTTCTTGTATGCCCTGTCTTCTCACCATGTTCTGGTCCTTCTCCAGAGGTCAGGTTTTTTCCTGTAAGCCTGGCTCCTATGAGTAGCAGTTTAAAGTTTCCTGCAGAAATTCTGGTACAACGTCTTATCTTTTTTCTCTCAAACACTGAGCCTGTCGATCTGCATCTGAGCCTGTCTGTCTGTATCTCTGGATCCTTCTGTTCCTGTTTCAGTCAGAACTTCGGATCAGCTGTGGACTCTTGGATTCTTGGACTGTTCCGGCCTACACTGTTTTCCCCAGACCTGGATCGGCCTCCTGTATCTTCTCTGGGGCTGCAGCATTTGGGACACCCTGGATGGCGCCAGCCCATCGGATGGATCTTACCTTTTTTGAAGCGCATGGACTGAACTGTCAAATCAGCTAAGTGAATCACTTTGATAATCATCTTCTGTCAGATGATCGTGGTCACTTACCTGTCTTGTTACATCCAGAGAGTGTCAGCTACTGGATGGTGCCCCGACCCCCTTTCCCCACAGTCGCTGCAGGTCCACAGATCCACAGCAGCCTGTTTCTGTTCTGTTTTGTTTGGTTTTGCTTTAATAAACGTTTTGAACTTTCCTACTGACTGCCTCACCTTAAATACTGGGTCCATCTGTCCCCCGTTTTATGAAAAAAAAAAAAAGATATATATATATATATATATATATATATATATATATATATATATATATATATATATATATATATACATATATATAAAACAAACTCAATCTCATAAACCATGATCAAAACCAAAAAGTGCAGTATTTCCCATGCAAATACTTATCAATTGACAAGGTAATAGCACAATTACTACAATAACCCTCAAACACTCAATCTTTGTTAAGAGCTTTAAAATGTGTAAACGTATTTTGTACCTTTAATATTATAACTGCCATGGTTTTGGTTCTCTTCAAGTTTTATCTCTGAGTTTTCATTGGTCTTATTTCCATTTCCTTGTTCTAGTTATTTTTGATTGTATATAATTTCTTAGATATTTCTTGTGTCAATCTCCTTTTCCCTAGCTCCCTTCTTGCCTCTTCTGTTCACACCTGCTACCAATTTGCTAATTAGCCTGGTCTTTGTTTCTCTCTCCCATATATTTTCCTCCTGTTCAGTCACTCTTTGCTGGTTTGTCATCATTTATTTGCCCCCTATTTGTAGGTATTTCTGGTTCTCAGTTTTTGTGGATTTTCTGGATTTATGTTTTGGATTTTTGCTTCTGTTAAACCTTTTGGTTAATAAATCTTCAAGTAAACTCCCTCAGCTTCAGTCTTCATTTGAGTCCTCCTGTCAAACCTCCACCCCACTGTGACAATAACCCTCTGGTTTTTAGTGAATAATGAAACGTGTTTCAACATTACAATAGAGTGACATTGAGCATAGGGAAGTATTTTAGATTTAGAAAGATTTGAAGCCACTATGAGTAATTATTAAAAACATCTAATGGTCAGACTGCAGCGACCCCCTTCCCCCACTACATCTCCCCTCCAACAATACGGAGCTCGTCATGTTAAAAATTGGCTTCTCGATGTCGCTTACATAGATCGCAGCATCAAGCTATTATAAAAATCTGTTTGAATGTAGCCTTAGAAATATCATTTTGTATCCCACCGCCAGCACAGACACGGACCAGCTGATGCTTCTTTCACCCTGCTCTGCTGCACTCTCTGCTGCAGGCTTCTCTGACACTCGGTGGTGCTCTGTCCATTTCCAGCAGTTAGACTCTAGGTGCTAGCCTTGGTCTGCTGTCATCTCTTCTTGCTCTGTCTCCCTGTCTATTTTGTGTTATAGCAACAAAGGATATCCACTCTGCAGTAGCTGTAATTGTATTTTACATACCTTATAAATGCAGACTTGCACACAGAGGTACAACCAAAAACCATGCGACGTAGAGGAACCAAGTCTGTCAGACAAACCACCAGGTAACAGTTATACTAATAAAAAATAGATGGGATACTTAATTTCAAAAAACTGCCTGTTTTGTATTTCATTCTTACGCTGAATGAATATCAAATAGCCTGAAATGTGCTGCTTCCTAATAAAACAGGAAAATTATAAATATAAATATTGTGAGCATGCCAACTGTGAGCACACAGTGATTTTTAATAGTTTAGAAAGGTAGTTCTCAGACTAGTTTCTCTAGTGCCACTGCTCAGCATGTTTGTGTCACTATTGCAGCACACCTGATACAAATATTTGCATGATATCCTCAGCAGCTATCAAATGATGGAGAGGTCAAGTAATCATGCATTTATACAAGTCAGGTGTGTGGCGGTGAAGCAAACTATAAAGCATGCAGGGCAGTGGTACTTAAGAACCAGGACTGAGAACCACTGCTTGTCATGATGGGTTATGGAGGCAAGCCCAAGATGCAGAACACATACGGAGGAGGCAGGGAAAAAGTTCAAATGTTTAATAAAAGTTCTGAGACACCAGGTTAATGCACTGGGACTGGAAATGGTCAGGGGCTGGTTCACTGGAGTCTTGACTGGGACTGGAGACTGTTGGTTAGCAGAGTTCATGAGAGGCTAAGCATCTAGCTTCAGGCTTAGCATGGCAGTCCTAGATTTGAGCTTCCAGCTCACAGCAGAGAACAACAGAGGATTAGCACTAAGGATTCTTCTGGCTGAGCTTCCAGCTCACTGCAGAGAACAACAGGGGGAAAACACGAAGGATTCTTCAGGCTGAGCTTCCAGCTCTTAGCAGGAAACAACGGGGAAAATCCACTTAGGATTCTTGAAGCTGATTCCACGTAGGTATCTCCAGGGAAACTCCACATAGAAGTCTTAGGTTACATCCACGTAGGAATCTTCGGGTTGGCTCACCAGGGCAGACTAGCAGGTTAGGCTCTCCTAGAGCCTCAGGCTTGAGACTGGTTTCCTGTGATGCAGCTCTTCCAGAGCTTCAGATCAGAGACAGGGTTCCAGAGGGGCAGCTCTTCCTGAGCTTCATACCAGAGACAGGTTTCCTGTGAGGCACAGATAAAGGAGAGATTAGAATCAGGATCTCACACTAGAGACTACCAAGATTCAATCAAACAGAGACTCAGAAGCTAACCAACTAAGATCAACACTGCAGCGTGGAAGCAAGGTCAGGCAGGAGCTTATAAAGGAGAGGTCTTCTGATGAGAGGATTAGCAACAGGTGTGCAGGAAGGTTCCAGCTCCAGAAGACCCACGGCGCACTCTGCTGGAGACAGAGGGTAGTCTCCAGATCCCCACAGTAACTCCAACCCTAGGGGAAAAACACAGAGCAGAAGAGGATCCTCGGCGCCCTCTGGTGGGCAAGCCTGAGGATCCCAACACTGCTATAGAAAATAGTAACCCTAACCCAGTTTTCAAATTCCTCAGGTAAATTTCAATATCTTGTTTTTCTTTACAAAATGTATTACTGAAATGCTCAAGGCTCTTCACCATAGGTGGTATTTATTTCTGCAAACAAAAAAATTGTCAATACTAGTGCTGTAGAGCTACTGCATTAAATGAAATACAAAGGCATTTCAGCCATGGAATAAACATGCCTCTTTTTAGTGTTGAAGCTGGGTGCTCCTTGTTCTGTGCGGAGGCTTTGGTCCTTGTTTTGGACTTCACAGGCTCGAGTCCTGGCCTGGTGCTGCATGTCTTCCACCTCTGTCCAGTCCCATTCTTTAATTGCCTTAAAAAAAAGGCCACTTGTGCCTAAAAATAATCTTTAATACAACAGACTTCCTGGTTCTCAGGGGGAGGGATTTGTAGAGG